GGGAGAGCGAGGAGAGTGGGGTGGTGCGGTGCTGCGCTTGCGTACGGTGGGTGGGGGCGTGGGCAGTGTCAGTGTGGGTGTGTGGGTGATTCAAATAAGGAGGGAGGGGAACAGGAAAAAGGGGAGGGGGGTTTGGTTGGACAATTTTGTGATGCCACTGTTTGCCCGAGGCGCGTGGGCCTGTTTGGTCTACCCGAGATGGAGCCTGAAATCTGTGGTTTTCTATCGGTAGATAAAAGTGTTTTTCAACCGTGAACATCTACAACCACAAGTATAGCTGGCCATCAGTCGGGCCGGGCCTGCCAAAGCCCGACAAAAAAAAACTTAGACCCGAGCCCGATCCGGCTCGGCCGTTGGGCCTGAGCCCGGCCCATCACGCTAAGGCCAACTCCACCGCGCGATCCATCCTGTCCGCGCGCGTCCGTTTGAGGTAAAACGAATGAACCAGACGGCCCAGGCGCGCGGACGCAAACGGACTTTTGTCCGTTTTCTGTCCGCTTTCGATCCATCCCCGGCCCAAGTTTGCGCCACTTTTGGGGTGAAACGGACAGCACGTGGACGCGCGGGCCGTTTGCGCGTGTCCTCCCCTGGCCCGCGCGTTGGTGGCACAGGGGCGCCTTTTTCTATCCGTCCCTCTCCTTCCCTGCGGCTGCATGCCCTCCATTCTTCTCCACTCTTCCCTTCTCTTCTCTCGCCGCCTCCGTCGCCGCTGCTGCCATTGTAGCTGTGCAGCTCGGACGCGCGGTCGCCCAGCCCCTTCCCCTCGGCGTCCCCGAGCTTACCAACCACGGCCACCTGATTTGCGCGTCCGACGGCCGGATTTGGGGCGGATCCGGTCGGTTTTGAGCTCGCCCGGCTGTGGGAGGCCGCGCCGCGCCATGGACTGGTCGGCACCAGGCCGGAAGGCCCTGGCAGGGTCGCAAGGCCACATGCAGGCAGTGGCTCGTCCTCTAGCCGCTCGGATCTACACCGTCGGTGGTCTGCCGGCAGATACCCGAATGGCGGTCGGCCGGGCTCGGTGCTAGCCCAAAAGCTCGTCGACGCACCGTTGTCGCTCATTAAGTGCGACCACTGCCTAAAGATGGTCGTGCGCCGCGTGTCTACAACGCCGGAACATCCCGGATGGGTGTTCATCAAGTGCTTAAACAATGGGGTATGTGCTAACTTTAGCTTCGGTTTGTGCTCTAGATTTGACTAGTTGTGCTAACTTCAAAAAAAATTGTATAGAACGAATGCAAGTTTTGGTATTTGGAAGAAGAGTACATCGATATATTGATAGAGCGTAATTTAGTAGATGTTCGTGCACTTTTAGCTAGCATAGAGGCTGTAGATGAGACAAGTGCACTTGTCGCTAGATTAAAGGCTAGACAGGAGACTAGATGCGACGAAGCAATCTCTACTTCTTTAGACTCGAAGAAGAAAGAAACACGCAAGATGGAGGCGGCTCCTTCATAGATCAACAATGAATGCATCGAGAAGGCACTAATCCAACTTACAGGAGCAGTTATGGAAGTTGGATATCTTCTAAAATGTATTCTTGTGGTTCTTGTTTTCTTTGGTCTTACTTTTCTAGTCAAAATTTGGTGATGTATTCCCATGTACCAAGAATGAATGATGAAAAAAAGTTTAAGGGCTTGCAAAGAAAAAAGTACACGGACAGGATGCGGCCGAGATGCGTCCGCGCGTTGGGCGCACGGCCACCGCATCCCAGGACATGTCCGGACACGACCCCATTGCCCTACCCAAACAGACATAATCCGGGCAAAACAGACGTTCGTTTGGGGTCGCGCGGTGGATTTGGCCTAAAAGCCCGTCGGGTCTCAGGCCGGGCCTCTTCCTTAAATGGCAAATATGACGAGCCCGGGCCCTGCCCGGCCGTCCGGCTCAAAATCTAGGCCCAGGCGCGGCCTGTGGGCAAGGTCGGGTCGGGCCGTCCGGGCCGGGCTGCCCATGGCCAGGACTAACCACAAGTACCAGAATCATGTCCCCAAACGCCCGTGGATGCGCCCTGGCGCCCATCCGCGGACAGTGACCAGACAACACACAAAATACGATTCCATAACCACAAACACCATCTTCAAACTACCACCTAATCTAAGCGGAGCTCATCCGGCTCCGCCATGCCCCTCAAGAGTGTTGGTCCAGTGGTCGTCAAGGTAGAGTAGGATATGGGACATGGACCGGCTCACGGGACTCAAGGCGTTGCCTTCTCCCACGCCCTACTCTCCCTCGTCAAAGTCCGGAACCTTCACGGTGTCGGTGGACGTGAGAACAATGATGGATCTGTCTTGGGAGGAGCCGGCGACGTCCACCATGATGTGGTTGCGGCGTCCGGGGTGGGCCGTGCACCACATGGGGCACCGGAGAATGCGACTTCGCCTTGCCAATGTCCACCGCCGTGAGGGCTGCCGCCACCTCATGCGCCTACTGCCTTGCATGGCGAACACGCCACGCCATATTTGCGTGAGCGGATGCTCATGCGTTCACCTATGCCTCGGCATGCCAACAAAGTGGTTGCACATCTCGGCGGATTTGGACGCCAGATGGACCGCATTGCCTCCTGTGAGGAAGCGGCAACAAACCTCACGTTGGATCCATGCGTCACTTGGGCGGACACGGTGGATTCCCGACGGAAGGAGTTCGAGCGCTGTCGTCGGGCGGCCTCCTCCCGGGAGCGGCGAAGCGCAAGGCGGACGGTCATCTCCACATGCGTGGGATGATCTCGGGGTCAAGTGATCTAGAGGTGTAGGACTCAGATCCGCTGCCCACCATGCCGAAGAGGGTAGGAGATCGCCACCCGACCTCACACGGTCAAGTCTCTGTGCTTAAGT